TTTTTTTTTTTTTTTTTTTTTGCTGATAAAAATATATTTATATCGCCGAACATCGCGATAAATAACAATGAAAAGTGGATTAAATCGATATCGCCTAATTGAACCTAACAATAATAAGTTTATCTCGAAGGCGCCATAAATAATTTTTTCGAAAAGTCAGAAAATCAATGACTAATTACAATTCTAAGTCACTAATTGATTACAATTCTATCTAATCTTTACATTTTAATCATTTGCACTCGACTGTTCCTTTTGAGGAGACATCGTAGTTAAATATGTAGCTTAATTCATAATTCATGTACATTAATTCCTGTATGTTATGCTTGTTCTAGCAAACCCGCAATGCACGTTGATGATTGCTTTAAATTTAACCTCTTGTCATGCACGTCACGAGAATTTTTTATCCCAAAATTGTAATATTTTCTGAATTTTAAGTATATTCAAATGTAACCCGAAGGACAAATAATAAATTTATTATTTGTTAATAATTTCTATCATACCAACGAATTGAAAAAGAAAGCGGCGAATTATTGTACATGGTTTGGTCACTCGTTATGGTCCGCGAATCAGCGCAAAGAATTAACCTCTTGACATGCCACGCACGTCGAGAGTTTTTTTGTCCCAAAATTACTATATTTTCTCAGTTTTAAATATATTTAAATATAACCTAGGTAAAACAAATAATACATTTATTACTTCTTAGTAATAAATTTCTTTATTATGCCGACAAGTTCAAAAACAAAGCGACGAATTATTGGGTATAGGGTTTGGTCACTCGTTATGGTCCGCAAACCAGTTGCCAGCGCAAGAGGTTAACTGGATCATATTTGGCGGCTCATATTTTCTCAGTTTTGAGTATATTAAAATGTACCCCAAAAGACAAAACAAATAATAAATTTATTACTTGTTAATAATTTCTATCCAGTGATCGACATATCGACGAGTTGGAAAAGAAAGCGACGAATCATTGTATATGGCTTGGTCACTCGTTATGGTCCGCAAACCAGTTGCCAGCGCAACGTGTGATATCGTTTTATAGCGTTCGAATGATTGTTTCCAATGCTATGTCATTTCATTTGAAGTGATGTTGCTTCGTATATATATAAATAGCTGATAAATGATACGAAAGAAGTTTGTCGAGGTTAAAACAGTCTGCAGTCAATACAGTTGAGAACCACTGACAGATGTTCAGTTGATAGAAGGCTGGATAAGTAACGTTAAACTTGAAACTTAAAAACCATACACCTCGATTTAGTGAATTCGAATTGGCAGAAATCTGTCGGCCTAGGTTCATCGTGATTTTCTAATCTGTTGGCTCTCGTATCGCGAAGTAACACTGACCGGTAAATATAAATCCGCGCTAAAAATATGGCGCACATGGCCTGTTCGAACTAGGGAGGATCTAGCGAGAGTATCTTGCACTCTTCTAGCGAGTGTACTCGCATCGATTCGTTCCACTTTCCCGGTCGGCTTATCGCCTCGCATGTACCAGTCACCGAACGGAGAACACCTTTTTGCTTTTCCTCTCTCTTCTTCTCTTCTGCATGACGATCATTCTCTCTCTCCGCAACAGCGTTTCTCTTCGTTCCTCTTCGCTCGAGTTTTTACAGCGAAACTCGATTCACTGACTCGGGGAAAGTGTAATGTATGTATATCGAGGCGAGAGATCTCACGTCGTGGAATAATAGTTTGTAATGTTACTCGAAACTTTTGCAAACTAACTTGTTTGCAAAGTCGATTTATTTATTGAAATCGAGACACATGAAGTTCCAACGCGAGAATTGATGCATCACTTTCACACAACTGTCGCAGGTTTGTTCCTTTAGCTTCATTTCTGCTGAGATGAGTTAAGGTTAGTTAAGATAAAATTAGAAGAAGAAGAACTTTAATACAATAACATGTGACTAGTTAAATTCAGAAATCTAGTAAAAGAAACTTTGTCTGATAAATTTGTTTATAAAGTCAATGAAACATTAAACAAACGTTAAATATATCATACAGTATACTGTATGAAATATGTTACTAAAAAACGTTAAATATGTTATTAAAAAACTATAAAAAAACGTATAAAATATGTTATTAAAAAAAGTTAAATATATCATACAGTATACTGTATAAAATATTTTTTAAAAATATCGTCGATATTACGATATCTTTGTCAAGGGTAATTCAAATATAGGGTGAAAATTCTCGATTTGGCCCATTGTGGAGCAGCTTGCACAAACAATTTATCCAAAGATTCACGCTCGTTGGGAAAATGATCGACAGAGAGCGGGGAACATAAACGTATTCGTGGTGAACGCGACTGTGACCCAGAAATGTATCGAGCCTTTGTTCCGTTCGTCAGAGGGCTCTCCACGCGAAGGTCGTTACCATGGAAAATCATCTCGTGAGAATGATTGCCTGTTCCGGGGCACAAGATATCTACAGAACGAAGAAAATTCGCGTACAAGTATATTTAGACGCGCGATGACTCGACGTAACATCGTTGACGAGTATCGATATGTACAGGGTGCAAAGAAAAGTTTGTCCATAGTTATCATAGATGAATTCTACACCTTCGATTTGATGGAAATGAACCTTCTTTACATGAAGCTTCTTTACATGTAAAGAATCGATCATGCAAAATTGATCTTGACCTTGAACTTCAAGGTCAAACTTCTTTTTTATTTGCGTTGTATATTCTACTCATTATGAAGGTTTTCAAGGAATCATAGGTCGTAATTTAATAGCTCTTTTGAAAAATGGCAAAATAGTTTCTTAACACTTAATGCGTTCTAACAGCGCCTTTATGACTCTGGACGCGTGGATGTCTATTTTACTTTCGTATTAGGTTTCACTAACGTTTGATTTATCACAGTATGCAGTATCAGTGTGAGTCTAAATAATCAAATGATAAAACTAACTGTTAACATTATTCGAGAGATGTAAACATCCACGCGTCAAGAAGCGTAAAGTCGCTGTTAGAACCCACCAAGAAACTTTCTTGCCATTTTTCAAGAGAACTATTAGATTGCGACCTGTGATTCCTTGGGAAAGTTTTACCTTCGTGATGAGTAGAATACAATGCAAGAAAAAAAAATTTTTTTTGAGCTTGAAATTCAAGGTCAAGATCAATTTTGCGGCAAGTTCTTTACATATGTTTCCATCCTGTATTTCAAATTTGAAAGTAAATGCACGTGACCAACAACAAGGTCGACGAGTGGTCGATTCACGACCAGAACTTTTTGCGATATTTCGTTCGTGCGATTCGTGGATGAACTTCGATCAATGGCCATTCAAATGTGTACACGGTTTGATTAAACGAGCGCGATTGTTAAAACTGCATATTCGCGTGAACGACGACGTGGCGAATACGATTTCACAATTGCTGGAAAGCAGATAACCTGTTGCCATTCAGTCTTTTGCAATTTGCAAATGATCAGACCTTTGGGAAATTTGGAAGAAATT